AATGTTTTTCAGCGTGGGTATGAGCGTGGGGTGTGTGTGTAATGTTTTTCAGCGTGGGTATGTATTATGTTTTGTATTATCTTCCCTCATAAACTTCTTGGGGATGTGAGTGAGAGGCGTCTTCTTGTCACTTTGTAGAGAGAAGCAGGTCCCTGTGGGCATCACTGGAGAAGATCCTTCATCCCCCACACACTGACCGCAGGGGGCTTTGCTGTGGGGTGCGTATGGCTCTGCCTTAAGTTTGCTTTCTCTTAGACTGAATTCCATGAGACAAGCATATCAAAGTATTCCACCTTTATTTACAAGCTGTCTCCTCTCCTACCTCACCCAGTTCCTTAGTGTTGCTCTGGAGCAGAGGCTGGATAAGCAGTGATGCCAACCCAACCCCAGAGCTAGAAGGAGCTCCCTGCGGAGGAAACGTGCAGGTGTGCCCCTCACTTCTTCTGGGCTTGTGCCCTGGCCCGCTGAATCTTGTCGGCCGTGGCCCCATCTGTGGCTCCGGTGCAGTGAGACAGCACAAGGCTCAGCTCGGCCTCATTTCGGTGCTCAATGGCCACATCCGCGGCCTGAGCCACATCACTGTGGTTTAAACAGGAGGAGAGATAGTATCAACGTCACCCACAACCCCGAGCCCGCTGGCTCGGCCACCCAGCACCCACAGGGCCCTGAATCTACACACCCAACAAGGAGCAGGGCTTTGACTTTCTGCTCTGGACCCACACGGGAAGCGTACTTCTTGGCTTCGTATTTGTTGTGCTGCTTCATGCAGATCTCTACAAAGGGCTAGGAGAGGGAGGGAGTGGAGGAGAAGGCTCAGCCCTCCTCTTACAAGCAAAAGCCCAACAGACACACTGTCCACTTACCTTTTACACACTCTTCCTTATGTATATTTCCCTCCTCTCCTCCCCTCCACACCCCACACCTCCCACAGAGATTGCAGGACACAAGTATTCTCAGGACAAAACAATCTACACCAAAGATCAGTCTTGAAATAAATTTTTGCAACCCTCTGCTCCCCACCCACCCCTAATGCCTCACAGCTGGCTCCTGCCACCTGCCCTTCAGGTGTGTGTCTTCTCTTGTACTTACCCTCATCTACCCTCCACCTCTGAATCCAGGTGTGTGTCTTCTCTTGTACTTACCCTCATCTACCCTCCACCTCTGAATC